CTTGCTACTCATCCAAATGAACAACTCAAATTACAAGAACATATCGATTCTTATTTTAATCCAGATACAGATGATGATGCACCAAGCTATGAAACAATCTTGAAAATGGAATATTTAGATACACCGTGAAAAGCTCTTTAATTTACATAGAACTGCCGTTCTTACAGCTGTACTTTTTGTTTTCAAAACAGACAAAATTTCAACTGTGCGAACATTTGTTAGTTTAAATTTTCTGTTTTTTGAAAACAATTGAAATAAGCTTTAACATATTTACCATGATTCAGGTTTCTTAGGGAAAGTCTTCGAAACATCTATTCTTGCCAACAGCTAACTTCTAATAAATGCACGGAGTAACCTTTTCACTATCGTCTAAGGATGATTCACTGTTCTCTTCTTCATATCATGACGTATCACAAGTAAAAGCGAAATTTCCAGTTTTTTCCTCGGGCAAACGAAGCGAAAACTTGCTGATTAAAAGTTAGAAGAAATAGAAGGATTTGCGCGCAATGTCCGCAGACGCTGCACTGGTTGCTATGAACAAGGCAGGAAGCGAGCTATGCAGCAGCAAAAAAAGTAAAAATTTTATGTTCTGACTGTGACAAATTTTTTTGGCTTGAATGTTTTAACAAGAAGCATCATGTTACGGAATAAAGAACTCAAAAAATATTGAAGATAGGGTGAATGACATATTTCATTTAACCTTCTGCCTAAGAAAAAAGCAAATGAAAGTGTTTCTCTATAGGATTTCTTCTTAAAATATAGCTTGGCCCACCTGTGGACCATATCGTGGTGAATGTGTTAATGTGTATGTCGAAGAGTTTTTAAGCTGTGTATTTTGTTTTTTGTAATGAATGATATACAGTAATGAAAGAAGAAACACAGTCATCCAATACCAGAGAAAGATATTGTTTTGCAAGTTTAAAATTTGATCGCTTGATATTTTGTCTGTTTTGAAAATAACAAGTGCAACTGTAAGAAAAGCAGTCACATGTAAAGTCAAGTGTTTTTCAAGCTGCATCTTTCGGTATAATTTCGTTTTTTAATACAACGTACCAAGTAGTTGAAAATTACAAGATAAATACCATGGTACACTTGTTATTTGAGAGCAAAATCATAACAGAAACAATTGTTCGATACTAGGTTACGCAGCAATAGTAACAAATCAGACTAATTATCATTGATATGAAAGTAAATTCACCTTCAGAATCGATAAATAATCTTCATCTGTCAGTACTTTGTTACTAGCCGTAGAACTTCTAAAAGTAAGTCTTCAAATTCGATAATGTAGTTCTCTTTTTCTCATGATTGAATGGGCAATAAAACTCATCGAAACATTTGTAAAAAGCTTTTATACGGAAGATAACCGTTTTAACACTCTAAATAAAAAATCAATCTAAATAATAAACATGTAATTAAAAAGTTAAACATATTTAACTTTGATGAAAAATTCTAATGCATTTTCCTTGATTTGCATTAAAAAGTCTTCAGCAATAGATTCTTATAAATTGACGTTACTCTTCTCTGTCATCATCAAACATCAACTGGAATAGAGTTACGCTCATAAGAAAATCTCTTAATGATCTGATGCAAATGCTTGAGATGTGTCAAGCATAGAATCAAACGAGCAAAATATCATACTTCAATGACTTCTTCATCCGATATTGATTCGAGCATTAATTGTAATAGATCCATTCGACTTGTACTACCTAAATTGACTTTCTTCTTGATCAATTCTTGGCTCTCCCTTTTAATCCATGTAGCTGGGTTATCCATGAGCAGCTTTCGTGCTAGAGGCACATTATATCGAACCCATCCGCGCACAAAACTATTAACTTCATGCAATCGATTCCAAAACCATTTGAATTCAGGCATAAACAAATACAAAAGTACAGCGTTACTAAGAGCTAATTCTGGACTGAATACACGTTGTGATTGAATAAGATATGGATCATTCGGATTGTTTTGCATATCTGTATCAAGACCAAATCCACATGACCAGATTGTATCCATTGTAAAACGTTTTAAAAACACATAAATATCAAATGGCTCACCAATTTGATATTGTTCAGTTAATTTCATCATGAATGCCTCGATTGTACGATTAATTAATGGAGACATCTGTTTGAGTTTAGCCGATGAAAATGTTGGATTGATTACAAATCGTTGTCGTTTCCAACGAAGACCTTTTGCAGTAAATAAATAGCATTCTTTCTTATTTGGTTCCTCAAATGGATATTCACGATGTGAATGAAAGTTTGAAAATGCTTTAATAAACATATCTTGTAAAATATTTGGATCAGAAACGACAAGAATTGGCGTATGACCTTCGAAATAACCAAATACTGGACCATATTTTTTTGTCCATTCTTTTATACATATTGACATACGTTTTGTTTTGAAGAAATCAACGAAATTACCAAAGAAAAATGTTGTTGGAGGACCTGGAATACCAAGTCGAATAAAATAACTATAAGTTCGATGAATATGCCATAAATATACAACTAATACAATAAATATAGCAATGAGAATACTTGTTAACATACTGAAAGCAACTTGTTTTTACTCGTTATAGTTTATTTTGTTGATATTATTTTTTCTCTTTTCTTTTCTTTCTGTTGTGACAGTCCCATGCAGCAATGATATTTTATCATTTCTTTTTACTACATGATAATAATGGCTGACCTATCAGTTGCTCTATTCTTCAGTTTTAGAAGGTTTTTCAAGAAAATTAAATAGTAAATGACATTTTAATCAAATATTGTTGTTGTTCTATTTGACAGAAAACAAATCAAGCAATTATTAATAATTCAAAATATTCTTCGTACAGAGGGACAGTGACATCTGACGAAATAACATATGTGATAAAGTGTTATATGTACCAAAATAAAATTCATTTAATTATCGTCTACTATTTTTAGAGAAAATCTTATGGAAAATTGTTATGATATTTGAATTTTTGCGTTCATCCATGGATGCGTGTACTTATATACGAAAACCTTTGCAAGTACCGTCATTCTTTATATGTGTCAATCCACATAAGCCACGACCGATTTATAGGGGACCTGCTCAATTAAGGTTGTCAGATTCGGCTCGTTTTTTGATATGTTATAGAGGCAAAAGTTCTAAGAAATTCTGCGAAAATTTTTTCAAAAAATATATTTTTTGAAAAAATTTTCACAGAATTTCTTAGAACTTTTGCCTCTATAACATATCAAAAAATGAGCCGAATCTGACAACCTTAATTGAGCAGGTCCTCTATAAATCGGTCGTGGCTTATGTGGATTGACTCATATATCATTCGATTAATATCAATCTCAGAAAATATCTATGCCAGACGCTTTTTCATACAAACCTAGTGAACTTCGCAGATTCCGATCACATATACATTGAGCAATCTGCAAAACATTCACAAGTATTCTTCACGACTATCAAAAGTCCGTTTAGTTTTCTTTTTACCTTTTCCTCGAATATTGACACTTTCATATTTATGTAACACGAGGCAGTAAAAACAACAAAATTCCTTTTCTCTCTATTCTCCTTTCATCCTTCTAAATTCATCTCGACACAATAGCTACTAGACATGCATTCTCAGTTGATGCTTTTATCTATTTTCTTCCCAGTTTAACATTATTCAAAGATTAGAAATAAATCAGCAAATATTTATCATGAATAACATTCATAGCGACTTAGAATGTATCTCGCTCCGAATTGGTTTGTATATGCTAATCTAGTGTTTCTAATTTTTCTATTTGATAAGAATGTCGCTCTGGCAGGTCGATGTTACCGTTATCCCGCATGTTTTCGTCATAGCAACATGAATTTGAACAAAATTTAAGATGCACTACATCTTGGTTAGTTGTAATTATTAACTGTTCTTGGCAATGTGTATGCATCCTTCAATAGCCCAACAGGACGGATTGTACTTCGTCGTCTTTCCCTAATGGAATAATAATAGTACGAAAAAAGAAAAATAAGAAAGAAATTGTGTCGACATGAAAAAAACAAATGATGAATTTGTTTTATCCATCCTGTTAATAATTGTGCTCAAGAATCTTAACAATATGTGAAAATAAATTCATCAAGTGCCGTCGAAGGAGTTAGCTGTATTAGAGATTTTTTGTTTTCAATATTCGAATGAAGTCATTGGAAGGCGATACTTTGGAACAAACAGATGAAAAATATAGAGAAAAAAATCAGAGCGTATCATGTGAATAAACCTAAGAAGAGTTAGATGATGTGTGGAGCATCAAAAGTAAGAGATCAATAGCTTTTTGAGTTGTAAAAGAAGATTAGTTATGAATGATATAATGTCAATTCGGAAGATAACTGTGAAGATATAGTTCATGTTTTTTGCATAAGAAATTCTTTTATATCACCAAAAAAGGGTCTCCTAAAATATGAAAGAAAAACGAAATTTATTTTACACAATGGCATTACGTTGAAAAAAATTCAATTAATTTGAACTGAAATTATTTTTCAATACGTATGCATTGAAATATTTTTGCTTTTACAATCGAAGAATAACCAAACTATAATATTGATGTACTTACTCTCATTGGATTTCTTCGCATAATATATATTTTCTGTTTCAGAACATTTTATATATCTTATCACGTAAATCAATGATTCTTTTGCTATTATTTGTCTTCTTAAAAGTGATATGTGAAAGACGAAAAGTTGTAAAATTTTGCAGAATCCTTCAATAAATTGCATGTATATGAATTATTTGTAATGTATCATTCAATTTTGCATTGAAAGTTAGCATTAATCTGATTAGACATGTAGATTTTCTCTGTCGAAGAAATGCTTGCAGTTTTTGGTCAACTACTCAATGAGTCTTATATGAACAATACGTTCAGTTGTTGAAAAGCAAAACTTTATTTAGAGCTGATTTCAAGAGAATACATATAATTTTCGTCAAGTACAAAATAAAGTTTCCTGAGATAGATTTTCACTGATATTATGACTCAGAAATATGTTTATTCATGACTCGTATCAATCAAAACAGATCAGTATCAACACATTTACATAATTCTATCACAAAAGAAATATACTTTTCTCGTTGAATTACATGTTTTCCACACTTTTAGTAAATATGAATATATTTAAATTACTAATATGAACGATGTTTCTAATAAATACATTTTATTGTCGCTTAACTTAAAACAAATAACGTTGGTCGGTTCGACTCAGTTGACCCTCGACTGTATACAATAGAAGTATATTCCGTATGTGTTGTATAGCAAGAATTGATCTACTGCCTTTATCACAATAACTGACTCAACCAATTTCGATTTCGCGAATCATAAAAGCCGAAGAAATCGATCCACCTATTCGTAAAATAATTCAGGATAAATCTTACTTTTCAGCAAGAGACTGTAAAACATAATAATTTTTTATCCAAGTGCATTTTAGGTAATAAATATCGGACGCAAAATAAATGTTTTACTGTTACACGCTAGTAACAAGTCATGCCTATGGAACCCAGTTATAAAACAGCTTATTAAGGGAAAACATATCACATATGTCGGATTAACTGAATTTTCATTTTCAAAACTCCAATTGGTGCAAAGTCCAATATTTAAAGCACAAGCATCCAACATCTACCCAAGGTTTCTTCTATGACATCTCATCTTTCGTCTCACTAAAACACACAAAAATTTATTGTATGTCATATAACTCTTCCCACACTGAAGGAAAAATTATTATTTTTTCAAAAATCCTTTCCTTAACCCAAAAAACCCAATTGAAAATTTTAAAAATCTGACTTCAGATTAGAATTCCTCGACCCCGATTTACTTTCGTCAACCTTAATAATAACGAACTTTAAATGGATGTTTTTTTGACCCTGACACAAACAAACATACATACGCACAAACTATTTTTTTTTCATATGACCCTCCTTTCAGTCGAGGGAATAATAAGAAATCGATTTCATTTTTTTTTTGGTTTCACACGTCACTTTTTTTAAATATACAATGCGTATGAATTTTTCCTTTTGAATCATACTCAAATATTTCATACACATAAATCCATACACGAGATACAATATGAGAGAATAAAAAACAATTGAAATCATTAAACCACTTTTCCTATGACTTTTGGTCATTTTATAAACTTTCTAACATTAATACAGGAACACACTATATATTACACCATCAAAAATATAGAAACTATTTATTTTTTGAATAACCATCGAAATGAATCCAACATACCATCTTCTCAGCAACCTACTTCAGCCACAAGTACTGATAAATGCAGCGCATTATACAGATTCGTATTTGATTTCGTCGTGAAAGTAGCCCTGGCATGTCCATGTAATCACAAACACACACGTTTTCGTCATCGCAGCACGCATTAGATCAGATAAGATTATCTTCCTCTTGGAAAGTTGTAATAAGCAACTGATCTCCGCGATTGCTAGCGCACGAAATATCTTCTGTCTTTACACATAGCGTAGAAAGAATAGTGCATGCAAATATAAAATGTGCACAGAGAAAATAGATGTCGTGTCCTACACGACGCCAGGAAAAAATTACCTATTACAACTTACTACGAGGTAAATGATCAGCTCTGATCAAAATTCCTGTTGCGATGATGAGAACATGGCGGGTCAATGGCAACAGCGACCTGTCAGAGCAACATACTACAATACGTTACTGATTTATGTAGCACCGTGATTGCGACGTGTGTGAAACATTGTTTTTATAGCCCTTTTGTTACGCAGAACACAACATCATTTTAATAGTATTTATGTTATTTTGTCGTTTTCTAGTATTGTTACGAGGTACATCAAAGGAGAAGAATGGCACTTCTCTGAGTTGATGAAGTTTAATAGACAATCTCTTATTTATATCTTATTTATTAGATGTTGGTGATTAAAATCAAATATTGGTTTGTTTTCGTTTATACTGAAAAAAAAACTGGGTGTGGGTGTGGGTGTGGGTGTGTGGATGTGGGTGTGGGGTGTGGGGTGTGTATGAAGAAGAGCTATTCACTCACACCCATACGCAAACCCACACCCACAGCCAAAGCGACACCCACACCCACACCTACACCCACACCCACCCACACCCACACCCACATCCACACCCACACCCCACACCCACACCCACACCCCACACCCACACCCACACCCCACACCCCACAACCACCCACACCCACACCCACACCCTGGGTCAGCATGCTTGTACTCACTCTTTTTGCAAAATTAAATAACGGGAAATAGATGCAAACTTTTACCACAAGATACATAAAATGATCGAGGGTGGGTATGGATGTGAATTTTTCGAATAATGGTCTATTATCAACACTCACATCGACCCTTAAATACAACATATATCATCAGTCAAAAATATCAAGAAACTAAAAATAAAACAACCACAGATTACTGTTTTATTGTTCCAAATTTAATGTTTATAAAATGAATTTTTTTTTCAGGAAATTTAATTCCATTCAAAATTTGAAACAAAAATTAGTTAGTGTGAAATTTTTTTGATTATCACAATGTATCGTCAAAGGTTACTGTTAATGCGGAGAAG